GCAACCAGATTTGTAGCCTTCCCTTTTGAGGCAGTGAAACAGGGTGTGTTTCATTAATATTGCTGGAGTGTTGCAACAGCATCCCCAGATTTCTGTAAACTATAAAAACAAATTATCCCATGTGCCACAGCTTTCCATACTTTGGAAAGCACACTCTTAGGGACCAGTTCACAGGAGCATTCTAAGGGTACATATAGACAGTGGCACTTAGCAACAAGCTCGTTATTTTGAAATATATTCAAAACAGGTGCACTATTCCGATGTCCCAGTAAACCTTGTTCCACAAGGATTGAGGGATTTATCAGAACAGGGGTCTATTTTGAAATTTGGCGCCATCTATTTCGAAGTAAGATATACAATTTGCATGGCTCAAATTGTGTAGCTTATTTCGAGCTACACAACACTGTACAGATGTACCCTTAGAGAATAATTGCAACACTCAGCTTTTTCTCTAGAGGAATGGCACACTCCTTTCCACCAGACAAGGGGGATGAGCCTAGTCCTTGTGGAAGCTGAGTTGGTGTCAGACAATTTCACACTGAAGAGCTGTACAGCTGGAGTGGAGGATTCAGAGAGTCTTGGGCACTATTATTAACAATTACAAGCACTGACTGCTGGAAATGGCTAGTCAGGCAAGTTATACTATGCACAAAGCACTTGCAGCGAGTTATACTATGCACAAAGTGCTTGTTTTACTCATATTTGTCTACCCACAGCCCATCTATCTGTTTCATTCACCTGTTGCATCTTTTCATAATCCCAGAGTGAGAGAGTTCTTAAGAATTCTATTATTTAACAGCACACAGCAAAAGGAGGCACTGATCCTTAATTGGCATTCTTGCTATGCAAAACAAATAATAACTATGAATGGGAAGGAGCTGAGCTGGCTGACAGTACTAGTTGTAACCAAAGATTCTCTTTAGGATCTTGCCACCAGCATAACAGCAGCCAATAAAACTAGGGCTATGGCTCAGAACTGTGTCCCAGCAAGTCTGCTCTTACCAGCCATGTCTGGGGAATGGGTGAAATTGAAGGCAGGCATCTCCTCACCACTACTGAGATCAGACAGATCTAGACAGCACTTTGGCGTATTCCTGCAACAACACATCAAAACCCAAAGCATCAGGATGGAAATATTGGTGACAATTACCAGGATGTTCACATGCTGATTGATGGAAGACTGGACTCAAAAGGAGGATCTCTGTCAGAACTCTCCTCTGCATCATGCCCCCGCTTAGAGCCACCAGAACCATAAGATTATCCACCCCCATCAAAGCATTAGCTCTGTCAGCCACTTTGGGAGCTCTTAAGGGCACTTTTATAAAAAGATGGCTCCTTTCAGTCAGAGATGGCTCCTCAGGCCCCCCCGAGAAGTTTAGCGGCCATTAGGGATGTAATAGTGTAGTCGATTAACCAATAAGCAAAAGCTTATAAGTTAATGCTATAGACTACACGCATTCCCCCCTTGCCAGTACTTTTAGCAGGCCAGCCAGCAGCCCAGCTCAGTCTTGGCTTGCGCCAGGTCTGGGACCTACCCCACTGCGGCTCTGCATTTCAAATGTATTAGGAGCCAAGCAGGCTGGCAGCCCAGCTCAGTCCTGGCTTGTGCCAGGTCTGGGAGCTCAGCCCCTGGATAGGGGCTGCTGCCACGCAGCCCATGGCTCTGCATTTAATGTGTTTGATTCAGCGGCAGCAGCACTGGGTGACAGGCAGTCAGTACATGAGGGGAGCTGGTTTTTATGCCTCATGAACCAGGGTGGATTGGCAGGGGGCTCCTCAGGAGTGGGGCCAGAGCACGCTGGCTGCCAGCCCCTGCCTCACCCCCAGAGACTATAGAATAGTCAAGTAACTGATAAGAATTCATTAGGTTAATTGGCTATTCAGGTAACCGATATTTAACATCTCTAGTGGCCATGCTATTTACACCAAAAGACTTTTGATTTTTTTTATGAAAAGCCCGCTCAGAATTCCTTGCAAAAGCAGGGACAGAGTCTTATAGACAGGAGCCTCTGACAGGTGATCCTGACTGGTTTGGCTGCCCCTCCCCACACTGCCTTGCCTCTCCCTGCCCAGACCCTCAGAGCTGCCCCCTGGGAGCCTCCTGCTTGTTGTGCAGGGTGGGGGAGTCAGAGGCAGGGGGTGCTGATGTCACTCTGTCCCCCTCCCCTGTACCCCATCCTCAGAGTGAGGAGGGCAGGGCCTTGGCAAAGGGGTGGGTCAAGGGCAGGGCCTTGGAGAAGGGGCAGGGCGGGGATATTTGGGTTTGAGTTAAACCCTGCACTTCAAAAAGTGATCTTGTGCTTCAAAAGGGCAGAGACCACTGTCCTAAATTCAGACCTCAATGTCTCAATCACCCCACCCCTCAAGAGCAAGCTGCTGCCCCAGCCCTTGTAGCAGCACCAGTTGACGTGCACCCTGGTTCACGCTGAGCAAGGAGACTGACTTTCATCCCAGCTTCATCTTCCATGCTACCTGCACCACCAGGGCCGCTATGCTAAAGGGAGAACAGACGCACTATTAGGTCTCTGCCTGCTGGGCAGCCTGGGTGCAAAGAAATCAGCCCAGAACAAGCCAAGCTTGTGAATGGCCCAGCCCCTCTCCTCCTACTACAGCGTTGGCTGGCAGGGTGGCTATCGGAGCCTTGTGCCTGGGGCTATTCCTCATCCCACTACCAGGCAGACTTTCCCCACCTACTGCCAGTACCCGAGGGGGGCCTCTTCCTGGAGGAGGTGGCCACGATGGGATTTACCCTGCCAAGGTGCTGAGGTTCCTAAAGCCTTGAGCGAGGTCCGTGACCGGGGTGCGGGGCAGCTCCGGGGTGAAGGGCAGAGAGACCTCCGTGTCCCTCAGCAAGTTCAGCACCATCCTGCATCTGGCTCGGAAACCCAGACGGGAACGGGGGCTGCCGGGTCCCGCAGAGGAGATATTCCCGGCCATGGCGCTGCGGCCCGCGGAGCCGCCACCTAGGAGCAACGCGAACCGAGTCACCCGCGGCAGCCTCCCGGGCCCATCCCCGGGGCCTCCCGCCCGCTGCTCTCGGCCTCCCGTGCCCATCCCCGGGGCCTCCCGCCCGCTGCTCTCGGCCTCCCGTGCCCATCCCCGGGGCCTCCCGCCCGCTGCTCTCGGCCTCCCGTGCCCATCCCCGGGGCCTCCCGCCCGCTGCTCTCGGCCTCCCGTGCCCATCCCCGGGGCCTCCCGCCCGCTGCTCTCGGCCTCCCGTGCCCATCCCCGGGGCCTCCCGCCCGCTGCTCTCGGCCTCCCGTGCCCATCCCCGGGGCCTCCCGCCCGCTGCTCTCGGCCTCCCGTGCCCATCCCCGGGGCCTCCCGCCCGCTGCTCTCGGCCTCCCGTGCCCATCCCCGGGGCCTCCCGCCCGCTGCTCTCGGCCTCCCGTGCCCATCCCCGGGGCCTCCCGCCCGCTGCTCTCGGCCTCCCGTGCCCATCCCCGGGGCCTCCCGCCCGCTGCTCTCGGCCTCCCGTGCCCATCCCCGGGGCCTCCCGCCCGCTGCTCTCGGCCTCCCGTGCCCATCCCCGGGGCCTCCCGCCCGCTGCTCTCGGCCTCCCGTGCCCATCCCCGGGGCCTCCCGCCCGCTGCTCTCGGCCTCCCGTGCCCATCCCCGGGGCCTCCCGCCCGCTGCTCTCGGCCTCCCGTGCCCATCCCCGGGGCCTCCCGCCCGCTGCTCTCGGCCTCCCGTGCCCATCCCCGGGGCCTCCCGCCCGCTGCTCTCAGGTCTTGGCCTCACCCCCTCTAGCTCCAGGTCCCGAGCCCACAGACTTGAATGAAAATAGAATACTCGGAACTTAAACCTGCCGCCTGAGCCCAGCCAATCACAGAGATTGGTGCCGATCGTGACCAATCAGAACGACTGAAGGATGCCCCCCTCCCAAACAAAATCGCCGCTCTCTGATTGGGTAAATCCGCGTGACTCGAGCAAGGTGCGCACCTATTCGGGGAGAAGCGGACGGAACGTTTTCTATTGGACGCTCGAAGGGGTTCCGCCCATCTGTGGCTCTGTGAGGCCAATCACCGTCCCCGGGAGCACGTGGTTGCTGGGGTTGCGGCCGTAGATATCAGTGAGGCGAGGCCGGCCTATCGAATGGGGAAGGTTTTGCTTGGTTGTGACGTAGTGCTGCATACGCCCCCCACCGCTTGCTTCTCATGCTGCCAGAGTCTCACGCGCTGGGCGGTTGGGAGCCGCTGGCCTGCAGGTGGGGCGCGTGGGCCGCGCTCGCGCTGTTCCCCTGTCAGTCAGCGCCCCGTTGGGAGGGTTCCCGGTCCACGTGGGGCCGGCGCTGCCCTGACCGAGCTGGGGGACCCGCCCCCGCGGTCCCTGGGAGCTGGGCGCTTGCGGGGCTCGGGCACGGCCACGGAGCGAAGCCGCCGCTGGGTGTGTCTGCGCCTGGTGCACAGGGACGGGAAGGAGCAGAGGGCACCCGGGCTCCCGCCTTCTGGGCCAGTGGCTTTCCAGTTAGGGGCTGGTGCATGGCTGGGGCCCTTGCTGCAGTGTCCCTGAGGAAGGAAAGCATCTGGGCCTAGGTGATGGAGCTGGCCTTGCTGCCCGCTGGCGGCACTCCGGGCTTATTCAGGACCAGAAGTGCAGGAGCAGGGCGTGCTTGGCACCTTGTTAGCATGACTTCTTGTGCATAATGCTTCTAGCCTGTGTCTCACTTGGCTGATCATCCTCTCCAGGCATTTGGAGACTGTTACGCAGAGCCCTTTGGCTGCCTTCACAGGCAGTGACTGCTGCCCTTGGTTTGGAATTGTTCTTGGAAGCTCAGTATTTAGCTAGCTCAACCTGCAGAAGAGAGGTCTGTCCCTGGCCTAAGCACTGGCCTTTCAGAAGTTAGTGTGTTCTTCCGGCCGAGGAGTAGTAGGATCACTGAGCTCACTGCCTTGTAGGGAAGGTTTGCAAACTCTGTCTAAGGTGGAGAATTGATTTTTTTTCTGTAATTGACATGCAGTTCTCTATTTCACGAACCTCTTGTTCTGGGATGTGAAGAGCCTACCTCTGGAACAGCATCTGTATGTGATAAAAACAGGTGGGTGGAAATGTGTTGTCTGTCTACAGTTAACAGACATTTGACTGTATCCTTAGAGATAAAATGCATGTAATTAACGGGGCAAAGAGACAAGAGATCTGCTTGCAACCCTCCAAATGGGGTCTCCCTGGCTCATGTTGGGCCTGATGTTGCTGTGCTGTGGCAGCTCCCTGTGCAGCCTCATTGTATGGCTAGATGTGCTGTGGCAGAATTGGCAAGGGAACTGCCAGATGTCTCAATTTAGGATTATTTGTATGGCTTCCAGCATAAGCATGTTTAATATAGTGAGATCAAGGGCATAAGAATGAGCAATTTGTGCTGGAAAACAGCAAGGGTATGTCTACATTGGCCAGACTTGTGAAAGAACATATGCAAATGAGGCATGCCTCATTTGCATACTTAATGAGCCACTATTTTTGCACAAGGGGCTTTTGCGCAAGAAGGAGCAGTCTACACTGCTCCTTCTTGCGCAAAAGCCACCTCTTGTGCAAGAGCTGTTCTGCTGCTTATTTTCAGGCAGAACGGCTCTTGCACAAGAGGGGGTTTTTGCGCAAGAAAGAGCCAGGGAGGCGGCTCCTTTTCGCACAAAAGCCTCTTGCGCTGGTGTGCCTTATTTGCATATGTTCTTGTGCAAGACTGGCCAGTGTAGACGTAGCCCAACAGTGAGGTCAGTGGAACAGTGAGTCTCAATTGGTGGTCTGCGAACCCTTTCAAGGGGGCTGCATCCTATGGATGTTAATTTACTAATTGAGTACTCAATGGAATTTACATCGACTACTCCATAGGTACTTCCGCATTCCTCCTTTGAAATGTACAACGGTCCCCACTGGCTGAACTCCATGTGTAGCCCAGGAGCCAGTGGGAAGTCCTGCTGACTCCAGGCTGCACATGGCGGACCGACTTTGAAACGTACAAGAGTCCCCAGCAGGGGCTCTTGTGCATTTCAAATCAGCAGCACAGCGGGGAGCCTGGGGTCAGCGGGGGACTCAGAGTCTCGCATTGACCCCAGGCTCCACACCGCGCTGCTGATTTGAAATGCTATGTGGTGCCGTCGTCAGCTGGGGTCTCCAGGTTTCACATGGCGCTGCTGCTTAGAAACGCTGCCTCGGTGTTTCAAAGGGGTAGCTGCTGCACAGCGGAACCAGGATCAGCTGTGGGGTGCTGCCCTGTGAAGTACCCCCTCTTCCTTCCCCCTTTGCTGCCTCTAGCTGATAGAGGCAGCAAGCGGGAGGGTGGGGGCAATCGACTAGTCAACTGACTATTCAATAAGCATATGCTTATGGGATAGTCACTGAGCCTTTAACATCCTTCCTGCATGGCCCCATGCCGGAAATACAGATCTAAGCCCAGTGCCCCCCTGCAGCGCTGAAGTCACGGATTAGGGCTAAAGCCCCAATCCCTGGAACAGAGTTGGAGATATGGAGGACATTGTCCCCTCTTGTATCCTGAAATAGTAGTGTAAGAACCTGTCTCCAGTACATCTCCCCACTTGTTTCCCTGCTGCCCTCCCGCTAGGTTGGATGCAGAAAGCTAGAGCCAGGCAATGCAGGATAGAGGCAGGAAGCAGCCGTTGTCCCTCGTCTTCTGCTGGTGCCCCAGACTGAATCTGCTCCTTAGTTTCCAGCCCCCTTTGCACCCACAAAGGCAGCAGGTAAGAGCCACCCAAGTGGAGAGATGCAGTTCCATGGTTGGCAGGCCCTTCTGGGAACAGGGACTGCAGGGGACACCTTCCAGCACACAGCCCATAGTACCCTCTTCCTGCACCTTAAGCCAGCTCCTCTCTGTATACATCTCCTAGCCACCACTCCTCCCTGCATCCTGAGATACCCCCTGTCAGCACATAGTCCCTAGCTGCTCCCTCTCTGCACTCTAAGCTGTTTTCAAACTTTTTGCACTGTGCCCACCACATTTAAATTATTTCTGCTTGTGCTCCCCCCAACCCAGCCAGGCTGACTTGCTGAGGTGAATTGGGGTGAAGGTGGCTTCTTTCTGTGGACCCCACTGCATAGGCATGGGAAGTTGGGGTATAGGGAGTGCTACAGCACTCCCAGCCCCACATGCCAGCTGGACAGTGGTAAGGGGCTCACCACGCTCACTTTTTAAAATGTTCCTGCACAACTGTCTCACTGTACAGAGCTGGATCAACCACTGCTGGCCCTGATGCCCTCAAAATAGAAGTCAAACTATGCCTACACCCAAGGTCCCTGCCCTGAGAAGTTGCCCTAACTCTGCTGGACCCTAGAATTCTTAATAGCATGTTGGGGGGCATCAAATAGAACAATGTTGAGAATCCCTGGGATGAAGGATGGATGAAGTGCATGGCTCACAGAATAAGACACTTCCCTTCTCCTAGGCTCCTTCCCTGCTCAGAATTCCCATTGTTCAGGAAAGTGGTTGTACATATTGTAGTCTGGGGAGGAGATATAGTGGAATTTAGTTGGGTAAGGCTCGCCAATCTGACCAGAGATTCTAAGTCGATCTTCTCTATCCCAGGTTACAAGTGGGTAGAACCAAAAGATTCCCCCTCATAAGGGTTTGCAGACGATTGACAGTCACACTTCAGATTAGGAAATGCAATGAAAATCAATTTTATTGCCACAGGAATAACGATTACAGAAACCACAAAGAATATGGCAGTAAGAACATAGATTAACTGAATTTCTTCCACAGATCAAACTACAACTCATCTATGTATACAGATATTACATAAGAACAGTCGTACTGGCTCAGCCCAAAGGTCCATCCAGCCCAGTATCCTGTCTGCTGACAGTGGCCAGTGCCTTCAGGTCTGATTGGATTAGAGGCAAGGCTTTGAGACAGACCTACCATCAGCTTTATAAGAAGGCAACCAGAGTGGCCAACAGGGTAGTTTGCCTGAGAGTTCACCCTGAGGAGAGACCCATAGTGTTTGGTCTTTTCCTTGAATTTTTTTCTCTTCTGCCCTTCAAAGGGGCATTTAAAAACATGTGAGAAATCTCTCAGAAAGAAGGCGGTGAGATGGTGATGGGTCTGCTGCTACCTGCACCACATGTGCCATGTTGTCTTCCTCCCAGAAGACAGAAATGATTTCATCTGCACTAAGTGCAAGCTGGTCGCCGTTTTGGAAGAAAAAATTAGAGGACTTGAGGCTCAAGTATCAACCCTACGTTCTGTCAGAGGATGAAGATTTCCTCGATAGAAGGCAGCATTTAACCCTGCAGGCACAGCAGGCTGAAGAGCCAGTCAGGGTAGTACAGGACAAGGAAGAGAACTGGCAGCATGTAATCTCCTGGAGAAGAAGGCCAACTCAGGTGTCTCCCATTCCTGTAGAGGTAAGTAACTGCTTTCAGGCTCTCTGCACAGGCACTACGGTGGAGAATGCTTTGGCAGGGACCTCTCAGGGAAGAAATCAGAAGGGAACACCATCTACTGGAAGGAATGGGATGTGTAGTCCTAGGGATGGGGGGGTCCACAACCCCCCCTCCCCAAAAGAAGAAGACAAGTGGTGGTGGTTGGGGACTCCCTCCTAAGAGGGACTGAGTCATCCATCTGCTGAGATCTGGAATCTCAAAGTGTGCTGCTTTCCAGGAGCTTGAATTCAGGATGTGACTGAGTGTCTTTCAAAACTGATCAAACCTTCCGATTGCTACCCCTTCCTGCTTCTCCATGTAGGAACAAACGATACGGCCAAGAACGACCCTGAGAGGGTCACTGCAGATTATGTAGCACTGGGAAGAAGGATCAAGGAATTTGAAGCACAAGTGGTGTTCTTGTCCATCCTCCCTGTGGAAGGAAAAGGTCCAGGTAGGGATGGTCGAACCATGGAAGTAAATGTGTGGTTGCGCAGGTGGTGTCGGAGAGAGGGCTTTGGTTTCTTTGACGATGGGTCTCTCTTCTAGGCATGAGGATTCCTAGGAAGAGATGGGATCCACCTGACCAAGAGAGGAAAGAGGATCTTCGCGGGCAGGCTTGCAAACCTAGTGAGGAGGGATTTTAAACTAGGTTCATTGGGGACAATGATCACATCCCTGAGTTAAGTGGCGAAGTTGGATACTGGAAGAAAACACAAGGAGGAAGGACCAATAAAGGAGTGTACACACAAGTGCAAGAAGCCTGGGAAACAAACAGGAAGAATTAGAAGTCCTGGCCCAGTCAAAGAACTATGATTTGATTGGAATAACGGAGACTTGGTAGGATGACTTGCATGACCAGAGCACTGTCATGGAAGGGTATAAACTGTTTTTCCTGATGGTACTCGGTCCTGCTGTGAAGGCAGGGGACTGGACTCGATGTCAAGGTCCCTTCCAGTTCTATATGAGAGGTATACTTCCATATAACAGGCAGGGGAGAAAAAGAGGAGGAGTTGCACTGTATGTAAGAGAGCAGTATGACTGCTCAGAGCTCTAATGTATAGAGGGAGAAAAGCCTGTGGAGAGTTTATGGGTTAAGTTTAGAGGCGAAAGCAACAGGGTGATGTTGCGGTTGGTGTCTGCTATAGACAATCGGATCAGGTGGATGAGGTAGAAGAGGCTTTCTTCAGACAACTAAGAGAAGCTTCCAGATCACAGGCCCTGGTTCTTATGGGGGACTTGAATCACCCTGACATCTGTTGAGAGACCAATACAGCAGTACACAGACAATCCAGGAAGTTTTTGGAGAATGTTGGGGATAACATCTTGGTACAAGTGCTGAGGGAACTGATCAGGGGCCGTGCGCAGCTTGACCTGCTGCTCACAAAACAGGGAGGAACTAGTAGAGGAAGTAGATGTGGGTGGCAACCTGGCAGCAGTGATCATGAGATGGTAGATTTCAGGATCCTGACAAAAGGAAGAAAGGAGCGCAGCAAAATACACACCCTGGACTTCAGAAAAGCAGACTTTGACTCCCTCAGGGAACTGATGGGCAGGATTCCCTGGGATGCTTACATGAAGGGGAAAGGAGCCCAGGAGAGCTAGCACAGGAAGAAACCATCCTGATGCTCAGTAAGAAAAGCAACTATAGTAGGCGACCAGATTAAGCTC